CCTTTGAGCCACACCTGCCGCAGCAGTGGACTGACAGAGGTGCTTGCAGTTTTTGAATCATTTCATTTATGATATAAAAGAATAGCAACATGTGGTCTGGTGGTTTGGCTGCACTCAAGTTGACTATAAGGTGCAATATTTGAAAGCCAGATTTTTTTTTCTAGCACAGATTTACTATTGCCTGCTGTTGAACACACGCAATTGGACAAATCTTATTAATCAGGAAATTGTAATACCATTAAGCAGACAAGGAACTTTATTCAATGTAAATTTTCCCAGAATTCCAATTCCTTGGCGTATAGGAAGAAAGAGTGACGACTCTTGAGAGTGAATAGTTTTATCTTCCTGTCTGGAAGAAAAATCTGTGAATATATTTCACTGTGGATTTTTGCTGGAGACAAAAAGTTATACACCATACAAAAAGATGTATAATTCATTGTCAGTAGTCACCATAACCCATAATAAATTTTATTTCTTATGAAACTTATGAGTCCATCTTATTAATAGATGCATTGGCTAAATATAGCAAATGGTTGAATCATTAATTCCCTTCAATTTAATTTAACTCGTATTTATATCCAGGTATAATTGTTGTCCATTAAATTACAATAAGACCAAATAAGCAGGTTAGAGTCTCCAACCATGTCAAAAAGCCATGACATAACACAGGCAAACGGATATCAGCAAATTACATTTCCTGTTCTGGCACAGAAACACCTTACAGCTCAGCAATCGTGCGTGTGCCTCCTCAGGCACAGGCAGGCTTTTGAGAAATAAACTTGAAACAGAGCACAGCACGTTTTACTGAGAGGAAGAATTTCCAACATGCTGCTCCCCTGCCTTCTGAGAGTTGTCATAGCCTCTATCTGTCTTGGTAAGGATGGTCAGGATGGCCACAAATGCAGGACACAGGCTTTTCTCAGCTCCCAAGTCTGGGGGTGGAGGCAGGTGTTTATTGTCTAATGGGGTTTAAAAGAGCAGGGCAATGAATGGGGTAATCAGAGCCCTGTCCCACATTAGTTCCTTACAACCCCATGGGTACCGCCAGGAGAATCAATCTAATTCTCTCTTCCACCCTCTCTCTTCTTTCTTGCTCTCTCTTCCCCCTCCTTTTGTCCCCCCCCAGGATCCAGCATATCCCAGAAGGTAACTCAAGCCCATGCTGCAATTTCTATGCTGGAGAGGAAGGCTGTGACCTTGGATTGCGTATATGAAGCTATTGCTTTCAGTTATTACTTATTCTGGTACAAACAACCACCAAATGGGGAAATGATTTTGCTTATTGACCAGGAGTCTTTTAATGAGCAGAATGCAACAAAGGGTCGGTATTGTCTGAACTTCCAGAAATCAGCCGGTTCCATCAGTCTCACCATCACAGCCTTGCGACTTGGGGACTCAGCAATGTATTTTTGTGCTTTGAGAGAAGCCACAGTGAAATAGGTGCCTGCAGGGGCCCTATAAAAACCTCTTATCAACATGAGGCATCCCCCGGCTGTGAACACATAGCTAGAACACTGGTGAAAGTCACAGTGTGGACAGGAAGAGACAGGAGCTGTCGCAGAGATGAAGATTTAGAAGGGTGAGCTTCATTCTAAGAAAATGCTGTCTCTCTGGCTCAG